GTTATCTTGGAGATAAATATGGACACAGACTTCTGATCTCCATATCTGGTCTCTTGATAGCGATGCTAGGCATGATGCTTATAGTTGCCCTCCCTTTATCCAACGACAGTGGTCGATTGGCGGGCTACTACCTAACACAAGCTTCACCAACGCCGTTCACTGCACTTCTCTCCATGATATCGAGTAACGTCGCAGGTTACACCAAGAAAACAACAGTCGCAGCTCTGTATTTAGTTGCTTATTGCATAGGGAACATAATCGGCCCCCAGGTATTCAGACCAGCAGACGCGCCACGGTATAAACCAGCGGAAATAACCATCATTGTATGTTATGGAGTGTGTGCCCTGGATGTGGCTTTCATTTCTTGGTACTACAACAGGATGAACAAGAAGAACGAAGCGATCAGAGCCGCGCCAGGTTACAAAAAGCTAGATAAACAAGAGTTTCTTGATTTGACGGACAAGGAAAATCACGAGTTTGTCTATGCCCTATAATTCTATTAAGCTCATGATGCCCTTGAATTCATATTCAGTGCATAGACTTTCAGCTCCAGTCTCATTTCATTCTTCTATTGCTTGATATCTTTGGAGACGTATCGGGGAAGAAAGATAGAGCGTATAATTAATCAGAAAGAGTAAAGACAGAAGGCCAATTTCAATAGGCTGAAGGAAAGCTACGACTTAGTGCAACCTACCATATCAATTGGCATTGGTCACTGCTTATGTTGGGAAAATTTATAGGAGTTAGACAACACACAAACTATGCCAGTGTACCATACCCGTGCGTGCATCTGCCAAGAATCACCTCCTCGTCCGATTCTAAGCTTTTATGCCAGCAAAATTGTACCTCGGGGCATCACCATAATAACGAGAACAGCCGTTAAGATACAATGGAATGTTACCATTCATTGCATAGAATCTCGAATGGGGCACAATAATTTTCGCTCAAAGTGGGAAAAGGTTGTTAGCATTAGATACTCATGTTGACGAATTAGCATCAAGATAATGTTGCAGCCTGTGTTTCGGTGTAATCCCATAGAGATTATAGGATCTGTGAAAGTCGTATGAGTCTGAGTAGTATTGGATCCTAGGTGGCAATCATGAACAAATTTTGCAAAAGGAATCCGGGTCTATTCTTCCATTTGGGCACTTGGTAGGTTTCTCATATCACGCGGCGTTTTGGTTTGGGATTGGGATGACTGCATCGAGAAGGAAGATATTCGCAAATGCTGGGCACTGAAATAGATCGAATCATCTAATGGAATTGGATAAGGGAAGAACAACCACACCAGGAAAGTCCTAACGCGAGAATTTCACTTGATTCTTTTACTGTGGCCCCGGCGAGCCGTAGGTTCAATTCACATGGAAAATCGAAGACCTAGAGACATGCAAATGTTCAATGTTGTACAATCTTTTTCAAATTCAACACAGGCTAGAACTCCAAAATGTTCTAAAAGTGTGGAGAAATGAACTACTGGCCCGGTACAACGCGATCAACCACTGTTTCTTCTCTGATTTATGTCGCGTACAGGGAAATGATCCATGTAACCATGTATTTAAGCTCCAATCGAGCATCATCTCAACACTGATGCCGAAACCATTCCTCTTTCAAACAATTTCTCCGAAGCTTTAATTCTGGCATTCCCAAAAGAATTTTCCGCTCAAACAGTCTTTCAGATGCAATTGGACCGCATACGACAACATCTTGTTTCTCGTGTCTTCTTCAAGAGACATTCGTACCTGGAGTATGATTTTCTGATGCCAAGTCGAACCAGTGGCTTCGAACAGGATAGCTGAAAAGGCGTCGTTAATTCAAGCCTCATTCAACTAGTTTTGGGGTTGGTAGGACCTGGAAGCGGACTATGCTTGTTTGGCGCAGTATCAATCATGCCTTTTTGGTGGATTTGGACAGGGGGGTGGATATCATCCAACCAAAGTTCTCCAATTGATCGGGCATCTCGTTTGGATAATATATCTACGAGGTACGAACCCTACTCGTCTGCATTTTACTCCTGTAGGCCGGCGAAGTGGTAGTTGGCCCCCGGAAAATTCTTAAAAAATGTCGGATAATTAGGACTATAGAGAGGAGGATTTCAGCAGTCATTGGCATGCAACTGCTTTGTGCAACTTACCAGTTCCGGTATTTTACTGTCTTTGAAAGGATCAATGACTAGGAGGGGTAACTGTAATCCACTAAATCTAGAATTTGCTAAATGCATCCCCATGCTCGTCCAGACTTTCGGGCAGGATGGTCTGTCGGAATATTTACCAGGCACTTCACCCTTTACCATTCCTGTCACTTTCTGAGCATCTTTACTAGATCGTTTCGAGATTTCCCCGGTAGATACACTTCGAAACCCCAGCACATACATATTCAAAAGCTGGATGCCTACCCCATGCCTGTAGGCCGAAAGTAAAACGCATAACACACATCTCGTTTGATTTATTGATATGCAAAGCATGTATACCTGTATGATGTATCTTTTTTCTAGTAATCTAAGGTTGGTGGTAGTTCCTTCATCTAAGCTTTGGTGTCCTTCGACTCCAGACTTTTCTCTCGTCATTAGTGAACCACTATTTCAGCCTCAACCAGCAACTAAAATGTATTTTCAAGACAAAGTGCATCGTAAGACATTGGCCATGTGACGATTTTGAATGTGGTTTTCGTCAGTTAAGATTTGGTATTGGTACTGGAAAGGAGAGAAGAAGATATGCATCTTCCTCGATTCATTGCTGCAGCTCTGGTAGCAAGACAATCTGTGATGGTGTTGCCTTCATCATATTGTTCTCCTGACTGCCGTAAGTTTGATTTACTATTATCAGATACTGTAAACAGATCAAGATAGCATTGAAGTAAAGGAGGTCACAAAACTGATGATCATGCAGCGAAATGCAAAATCGAAGCGTTGGCATTTAATAGCACGACGTCTTGTGCAGAAAACTCAAAATTTATCACCAGCTGTGGAAACTGTCAAACTTGCGTGTTGACCTATTCAATTGAAAATCCGGACGTCAATACCGATCAACAAGAGATAATACCTCTCATCTCCACGCAATTGAATAAATGTCTCAACACGCCGGGGGGTGGGGAGATACAGCAGTACGCATTGCAAGTTTCAAACTTAACAGCTTTGTATTCGCGAATAGTTGGAACTGGGTCTTCCACGACTTCTGGAGCGACGGCAACAAAGACGAGTTCTTCGACTACGACTGGACTAGTTAGTTTGGTGACAACGCCTGCTAGTAGTTGGTCTGGGAGTTTAATGAGTGATTCGGGGGATTGGACAACCGTTTTGAGTACAGCTACTTGGGCAAGTGCTTATTTTAGTGCGCTCTCTGAAGGTATAGAACTCTACTCTCTCTCTCTTTAATCTTAAGCCCATCTTGATAAATGTATCTTACTCTAATTCTAAAAACAGCATCGATATCTGCCATGAAAGCATCCTCATATTCCAGGGCCTCCATAACCTCTATTTTATCGACTCCAACCTCAGATTCCATATCAACATCAATTCCCACCCCAACTCCAGCCACTAACTCCGAAACCAACATCACTTTCAATTCCACTATTCCCCAGACAACTGCCAGCACCACGCCCCCTTTAAACAAGACTTGGATAATAGGCCCCATAATTGGCTCACTTCTCGGCATGTCTACCGTGTTCATAGTAATATTTTTCACTCGTCGCAAACAACATCGCGAATTTCTCTTTCAACAACATCTTCTCCGCTCACGCCATATCCCAATCGATATAGAACCCTATAAAAATTTCGGCGGTCTTCATAGTCCAGCAAGTACGAGTAGTCATAATAGTTATGGTGATGGATATTTGGGAACCGGAGGAAAAGCGCAATTACACGGAGAGAGTATGGAGATGAGAGAGTTGCAAGGGAGAGAAGTAATGGCGCCAGTGGAATTACCGGCTAGGGAACCGGTGGGGAGTGAACTGTTGACACCGATTGGGAAGAATTTTAGGAGGAAGAGGAAAAGGGAAGCGAGTCCTGTGTCGCCATTAATTTCAACGGGACTTGAGGATTTAGGCGAACAAAAATATGAAAAGGGGGAGACGGATGTAGGGACTTTTAGTATACCGCGGATAATTTTACCCAAAGGAAATGCCAATGAAGTAAGAGACGAAGGGGAGGAAAACGATGAAGACGAAATAGTCGAGGAAGTCGAATGGCCATTGCCATTGAGTCCTTTACAAGCATTGTTCAAAAAGACAGAGATGAGGGATGGGAAGGCAGACGCTGATGAGGTACGGCATGAGACTTATTACCATCCCTGAATAAGGCTTGAGGTGAACTACCGACAGCATGAATGAAATAAAATCAGAGTCTCATGAGGAGCGAACTGCGGCTCAAAGCAGGCGCTACATGAAATTCAGATCTCTCTTGGTTCTGGGTCCCGCCGATGAGTCCTGAATCATTCGATCCAACAAAGATTTAAAATCGGAGGGAAGGATCACGGCATGAAAAATGTTTATTGCTGGTCATCTCAACTGCGCGAAAATCTCAATATCAAAGATTTATACATACCGAATCTCAAAATGTTAGATCATCCCGAAACAGGCTTCAGAATATAACAAAACGGACCTTTAAACACGAATCGGCTTGAAGCAAGTTCACATGCCATATACTTATATCATGTGACATACCAACTAGATACAACACTTCCACTAATACCAATACCCAATTGCATACACGCTTTCAAAAAATGCATTTTCCATGTCACAACAATTTATGTACAATCAAAGCGAGTGAGAGAGTGAGCGAATTAATACCCCTATAGTATCAGTTTTTCACAACATTCTCACGGTGGGAGTGTTCGATTTGGCTTTCTTCAATTTCCCATATGATGAAACGAGACGTTAGCCAATAAGAAAATAAGAACATGCCTTGAGTTTTTGGTGTTTTCTTTCGTAACTTTGGCTATCTGAGATGATGTTGATGAAAGCTTGCAGCAGGAGATGAGATAAGTTGTTCGGCAATTTTTGTTGATATCAAACGAACGAGATGATGCACGATCTGATAATGCAATGTAGTTATATTTCTGTGAACCATTTCACTAATTCCACTCACTCTAGTCATCGACTTGTATCAACTTCAATACGAAAGATTAGAATCATATCATGTGGCCCATCCATTAGCCACCTTATCTCCTTCCCTCTTTAAATCTCCTCAAAAAACTCCCCCAACAATGCATTTGTCTCATCACTCTTCTCTAATTGAATCCAATGACCACCTTCCCATCTTTCAACTCTAAAATCTGGAATGTAAGGTTTCATTTGCGAAGGAAAATCGGCGCCAGAGCTAATGAAATTGGTGGACGTTATGAGGAGAGTTGGTTGGTGAACAACTGTGCGCTCTTTGGGGATTGCTGAGTGTGGAATTTAGTTTTAGTTATGAATTGAGAGCTAATACAGAGGAATAAAAAGGATAGAGGGGGATGAAGGATGGAAGAAAAGGGAGGGTGATAGTACCTTTATCGTCATCTTCGTTAATCCCATGAAGTTGCATAGTATACCAATTCTTTGCAGCACCAAAGCCGCCATTTTGGGGCGAGAATGTATTTTTGAATGTTCCACGTCCTGATTGTGAGATATGTTTCAGCATCGATTCTTGCATCACGCTTTTTACATAAACATAAACAGAATTATCTTCACTCACCTCACTCGTTACAAAATGCGGATATGGAGCTAACATACTCCCCTCAAGCCATTTGCGAAAGCCGCCAGTGGCTCCCATATGTTCTTTGCCTAGCTCATTGTCAAGGCTATAATACAGGGACATAACAGATTCGGGCTATGTTGATTATCTGTTAGAACTTTGCCTTTGGCATAACCGGACGCGGGGAAGATTAAAAAAAATCGTAAGATCTTACATTGTTGTCCAACAACTCGGTACTATCCTCCTCATCCATCAAAAAGAAATATCCAAAGATTTCAAACCCAGCCATCTTCTTAACTTGAGCATTGATCAATTTCACCATGTCGAAATTGAAAGCCGGTCCATCAGGTGCCTGGTATCCCACATCTAGAAACACTAATTTCTTGAAAATTTCCGGATGATAGTTCACCATGCGTGAAAGCATAGCACTCCCCCAATCATGTCCTACACCCAATACTTTATGAGATTCAGAAATGGAGTGTAAAGACAAAATTTCATATAAGTCCGAGGCCATGTCTTTGAACTTGTAGAAATGGGCTGACAGCGGTTTGGAGGTGCCGCCAAATCCAAGAAGGTCAGGAGCAATTATTCCATAACCTTTCGCGGAGAAATAGGTTATTTGATGGCGCCAGTCATATGATGAGGAGGGAAATCCATGGAGAAAGAGGATATAAGGTTTTGAGGGGGATGAGGGCTGAATATGAATGTACGAGTAGGTAAATGAGCGGGTGGTGGTATGGGTTCTTGCTGGGAAATTTGAAGATGCCATTTTGTGAAAAGTGTTCAATTTTGCCCGGAGAAGAATATAGTGGCAATTATTCTGAAGAAGACGTTGAATAAGTAGGTATGGATATACATATACTTATTGTACGACATCAACCTCTTCATGCATGGCCAAATGATATATCTCCGGAAAGTGTTCAGGCGTACGTGATTGTGATTGGACACGGGGCTCGTGTCACCCAGAAAATCCGAGTGGGGTTATCGTGGTTCGGGTTCAAAGAGCCCGGAAAACCAAGGGTATATGTGGGGAAGGGATTTCCGAGGGATTTGGTGATAGGAAGGGGGAAGGTGGATATGTACCAAGATATCAGCATGTCAGCATGGTATAAATCCTTTATGTGGATGTCAGTGAATGAATATGTTAAGTAAAGTGGAGTTAATTGTCAATACCAGTATCTGTGTATTATTACAGCATCCGAGATGCATCACACTCTTCGATTCCCGCGGAACATTGATTAAAAAATTTCAAAAAGAGTTGGGATACATATCCCAGAGTCCCATGTAATCCTGCGACCAAAGATCTTCCATCTCCATTGGCATGAAAGCTGACATAGAAGCCATTTGATCTGTCTCTGATATTGGCTGTTGTTGTTTTTCTTGGAAGTCATCGATAGAGTTGGAAGTAATGGTAATGGGCGCATTGAATCCCGGCTTACGATCCACCCATGCTTTAAACATCTTCATGACCTTTTCTGAACACGTGAATATGTTTTCGGAATCACTACTGGTTCTTTCCCAGGCGGCCTCAGCTTCTGATTCTTTCAGACTTTGTCCTAGCACATCCAAGATTCTTCCAGGCGCACAAACCCTCCTGACCATGTCGGTATCCCATGCTGGATCTTTAAGCACCGTCAAACGATATAAAGGGAAGAAAACTCCTCCGAATTGTTTCCATACTGGAAGTGGTAATCCTATAAAATGTGAGGCTGGTGAGTTGAGGAGGATGTCGAACCAAGATTTTATGGAGTTGAGACAGCAATGAAGTGATTCTATTCGAGAAAGTGAGGAATCTATAGATGAAGCTTCAGTGGAGTTGGGAAGATAGATAGCAAACTCGTGAATCATCACTTCCGCGCCGTAAATTTGAAGGTTCAAGGCTCCTTGGAAGCTGTTAGCACATAGTTCTAGGAATGAACTCTCTACCTCTGAGGTGTACATACTATTTTCGTTCAAATGCGATGGTATCTTTTTTTTGACCTCCGCTAGTTGGGATTTGAGAGTTTGGATATAGAGCATAATAAGAGTGGAACTCCCAGGTTGGTCTGGTGTGCCATCACGGATGAGATTTATATATGATTCTGCCGTCTTACGCACAACGTGTTGAAGTCGCACCTGGTTGATTAGAAGCTCATCAGATGGATCTTTTCTTTCTTCGAGTTTTGATAAACATTTGTCAAGATAAGGACACCAGACTACGCCTTCCAATTTCTTGTGGAAGGTTGAAAGACTAGAAATCTTGGAGTTAGCCTTGATCGCTTTAAGCCTGCCATATCAGAGGGAATCTTTTTAGACGAACGTTGAGGTTAGGTAGTAGCAGGCTAAAACTAGCCTACGATGCTCCATATTTCGAGTCAGTGGTACCTCCATCATTTCATGATGACGAAATTCATGTTCCAGGCCCAGAATATGAGACTCGTCACTAGTAGGTTGATGAAGTTGTAAATCAATCACAAGTGTAACGATAAGATTGGAAAATAGAGTCATGAATGGCGCGGTTCGTATTTGATACTGGCCCCTAGAACAACAGTGAGTAACATGGGTTCAGCATTAAGACTATAGCTTACCATCCAACAAAACAAACCAAACCCAGTAACAGATCTAAATTTCTCTTTCCCTCCACAACAAGTTCCCGGGCTGCAATTTCTCGGATTGATTTGCCAAGTGTAATTTGTCGTTGGATGACCGTTGATGACATTGTCATAATACATAACCAAAAGAAGGGGCGCTCTTGTCGCAACTGGCGGGCAGTCATGCCATCTTGAAACTGTATAAATGGGAAATGGGGAAGATTTCTAGTACAAAATGAACGGAAATATATTTCTGCTTCTTCTGTTGATGGTTCCGCACCCTCTGGTAAAGTGTATGGATACGTTGGGCTTGCGCTCGATGCTGGTGTGGGAGGAAGATGAGCCGCACCTGAATCAATAGGTGCAACTTCATCGGCATCTCTCACTGAAGTGTTCACGGCAGTAGAATGTAAATCTGATGCATGCTTATCAGAGGTTCGAACTGTGAAACTGTTGAGGGCATTCTCGACAGCTGGATTATTCGGCGAAATAGTCCGCAGCAAAGATACAAGCCCGTCTAATCTTTGCTCAAGACGTTCTGCAGTCACGCGTGGTTTCTGTCTCCGTTTCACCGGAGCAGTAACACATCCTTTTTTGAGCCTACCACATCTAGACAAGTTAGTCTATGGAGACACAGGGACTTCGTGATAGAGATACCTCTCACAAATTCTTTGGTCACTACCAAAGTTACATTTAGTTTTTGCCTTAGCACAATTGAGACAAGCTCGTCCGTAGGGACCTGAACGTTCCGTTTCCGTAGATTCTGTCATTTTTGATCTTAGATTTGTTTGGAATGGGAAAAAAAAGAAAACGAGAGACAAATCATGGGGATGACGAAGAAAGTAATTGTTAATTTGTTACAATGGACAAGAGGGACGCTGCCGCTCGGGACAGTAAAACTCCCGTGTCCATCGGAGATCGGGGTTTGAATCTCCGGGGATTCTTTTCTTTTATCCAATCAGCGGTCGTTCCTCATAGAACCATCCCTCGTTCTGCTCTCGAACTTCGATTTTTCAGTGACACTTAGGAACTAAAGATATTCAAGTCAACCTTGCGCTCATTATAGAATACAGATAACGACCTTGGATATGAAGTATTACCAGAATGATAGACCGGTAGAGCCCATTGCTTTGGACGCAATGTAGACTGTAGCTATCAACTTGTGAAATAAGTAATCGGTCTTCGGTTTTGGGATTTTGTCTCCTTCACAAAGCACTCTCTCTCTCACATGCGTCTTTATCATAAGCGAGGTATAAAACCAGAGCGATGCTATTCGAAGAAGTCGTCGTAGTCGGAGGTGGGTAGTTTTACACACAAGCCGCCTCTGAGCTTCCAGAGCCCGCTTTCCCCAAGCAATGCGTGTCAATGCGAGCCCTATGTGAATTTCGCCTGCTTTTGGAAAGTTTTTGGAGTAAATTACTTGATCCGTAATCATATTTAATAGTCACTCGGGCATCATTTCTCACTGCCAATGAAGGCGAAGTAAAGCACGTTGTCCTCCATTCATCTTACACTGTCCAGACAAATCCAGAATCTGAAGTTGGAATATCTCACAAAAGTTTGGAAGCCGTTGTCATCACCTCGGAATTGTCACATATCTTTATCCTTGCAGCTCCTTTCTACCAGCAAAATGATTTTGAATATCCTAAAACATACTTGTATCCATCTGTTAGAAGACGGGACATTGTAAGCTGTGGTGGTTATTAGCCTCGTACTACCATCGTTAGTTGTATGAAGCTCTTGACTGCCTCCGATTCAAGCACCCAGCGAGAATGTGTTTCAATCACCAATTGTAAAAGATAACGAAAAGGCAAGCATCCTGTTGAAATGGTCCTTCTCTTCCTCAAAGTTTGTGAGGTAAAAGTATATCAGGCGAGAATTTCAAGCTGTCTAGTTGATCAACTGATTGAATGGTTCATGTTTGCTGATAGGAAGCCAGTGACGATTCATTTTTCGTGTCCATGTCCCAACCGGTTCGAAAAGTGGGTGGCATGGAACTCGAATTAGTTCTTGAGCTTCTAATATTCTAGGTGAGAACGCGAAAGAAACCCAAGAAAACTCTTGAGCAATTAGTCCCTTCGTGTATGACTTTCACCTCAATTGCATCTGGGGGATTCAATCGTCTACCTCTTATTTTGAGAATCAATAAAATACTGGCATGCAACTGAATGTTGAAATATGAGGTTACCCATGGACAAATTATTCCGTAACCCTTTCCAGGCTCTATGTGTAGAGAAGAACCCCCACAGAAATATGATCAAGACATGCACCGTTACCCCTCTTTGCCCCCACCAACCCCGCATACTGTGCTAGTCCATACATATCTGCAGTCGTCGATCACACGTCACGTATCTAATCATTGTATCCATATAAACTAGACGGGTTGGTAGAACAACTACATCTTGTATTTCAACCATAATTTCATAGTATCACTAATTCTTAGAAGCTAGTCTTATAGCCCCAAAGATGCCATCCTCTTTGTCTCCACTACCCCCAACCCCATCGTTCTCCTCGCTCCCTCTCCAAGCTAGTGGCCCCCGCGGCAATGCATGGGGTCTACACGGCCCTACCGACCAGCTCGGATGTCTCAACCGTCTCACTCCCGAAAACACCATTGAAGCTGCCAAGGAAATAAAATACGGCATTCGAATATCTACCGACTGGGCTTTAAACAAACCCAAAGTTCCCTGCTTTGGACGTGTACAGTTTGAACAAAAGATCATACATAAAAGTCCAAGAACTGTGAATGATGACGTGCTGGTATTGAATACACAAAGTAGTAGCCAGTGGGATGGATTTAGACACTTTGGTTGGTTCTTTAAAAATGGATTCGAAAATTGGCGAATGACTCTAATTGGACAATTTATACAGGATATCAAGACGCAAAGGTTTACTTTAATGGGTGTACCCAAGAAGAAATCCACAATTCAACACGAAATGGAATCGACGGCACGTAATCTCGCATAAGGCCTCTATACACACGGTTCACCTGCTGACAGCCTCTGCTTGTAGTCTGGGTAGAAAACGGCGGCATAGTAGGTCGTGGTGTCCTTCTTGACTACGCATACTGGGCCGAGTCCCAAGGTCGTACTGTCAACCCTCTAACAACAATCAAAATACCCCTATCTGAGATCAAAGCTGTGGCTGAAGCTCAAAATGTCACATTCCGTCCAGGTGACATCCTCTTTATTCGTACTGGGTACCTTCGTGCTTGTAAGTCTTTCCCATACTCTGATAACATTGATATAGAATCCGAGATTTCCAATAGTCTGGATTTCAACCCGGATATCAAATAAGATGCTTTGAGTTTCTAAATCCAATTAGAATAACTTTTGCAGATCGAAATCTTCAACCCAGTCTACAAATCCAGACTATTGGCCATTGATCCCCAGGTCCTCTTGTATCATATAGAATACTAACGCTTCTCCCGTCTCGTTCAGTTGAAGCTCTGTCTTCTTCCGAAGCGGTTACCCTCGCCACCGCTTCCCAAATGACAGCAATAGGCCTTGAGGCCTGCCCGGAAGTACTAGAATGGCTATGGAGTCATGAGTTCTCCGCTGCTGCTGGAGACCAACCCGCTCTAGAATCTCTTCCTTTTGACCTTACAAACCAACACTGGATGCACGAATGGCTCCTTGCTGGATGGGGAATGCCAATCGGGGAGCTATTTGATTTGGAGCGATTGGGAGAGGAGTGTAGAAAATTGAAGAAGTGGACTTTCTTTTTTAGCAGTGTACCTTTAAAGGTATGTTCATGAGCTCTCTTAGCATGGTTTGTTGTCTTCACTTTAGTGAATTAGATTGCCATTTCATTTGTAATGTGTTGGAAATCAACCAACTTTGGAGATGCATCTCGGTAAACGAAATTCACAATCGATGCCAATGCTAACAAATGACGAGGTACCGGGAGGTGTTGCGAGTCCTCCAAATGGCGTTGGTATCTTGTGAGGCATTACTGTATTCAAAATAGCAACCTGCTCAAGTCATTCGATTTGGTCCTGTTCATGTGTCGGAAATCTTCCTTGGAAATGAGAGGAACAACTAGCTTATGATCAATCTTATCACCTGCAAGATCCTGCAAGAATCAGTACAATGAAAATGAGAACTTTATTGGAAGTAAATTTTATGAATAGTGAATGGACGGCATAGAAGCTCGTTCTGAGCTTAATGTACCTAGGTAGTAAAGGAAAAACGGGTATCTATATTTCCATGAGAGTGATTATAATCTACACTAATAATACCCAATCATCATACATCATGCATCGCGCTGGGTTGCGCTGCACCCATTAAAAAATCACCCTCTAATACGAATGTAACCTATAACAAGATTGCTATGACAGAGAATGTCTAGCTTGGAGACACGTCGATTGGGTCCGTCACGAACCGAGCCTCCAAAGCATCCCGTACTTCAAATTCCTCGAGTGCGGCCCCAAATCTACAATTGTTAGCTCATTCAGACCTGATATAAAGACAAAGAAACAAGCGCACGTACCCGTAACATCTGACTTTAGGTAAAAGCTCTTCACTCATGTTCTTCAGGTCAACATCCGTTAATTCTAGAAATCGCGGATGTCCCAATACCATACCCCATGCCATAACCGGTGTAATCTCCCCATTCAAGTCCAACCTCTTACTCAAATCTAACAAATTAGCTAGATCGCTCTTGCTCAAGTCCCACGTCTTTTGTTTTGGAGGAACCCCATTCATTTCATCTGATTCATGACTATGTGGCAGACAGTGCCCAAACGGTATGTCTGGGTGCATCTCCATTTCTGGTTCTGGAGGACATGTAGCCATTAAAGCATGGCCAGAGAAAAACTCTCCATCAGCATCGCTGGATCGTTCGACTAAGAACTGCATGTGGTCCATACAGGGTCTCTCGAGTCTGATATCAGTATCTTGCCGTTAGCTATTGTCGGGGAGGCGATAAGAACGTTTTGGAGGAATCTTTGCCATACGTTAAAACAAAGTCAATTCCTGCTTGATCATAATCCACACCTTGAACTGGTTGATGCGCCATGCTGCTATCATTTCCATTGTAAAATCGGTGCGCTCCTCCCAGTTGAGGTGATCCAGCATCGTAATAGGTACTGTTCGGATTTGAGTTCGAAGAGTGGCTTAGAGGTGGAGGACTGAATGATAAAGAGCCTGGCGCATAACTGCCGGCCTGGCTATCACTCGATTTATATCCTAGACTCGGATTATTTGTGAATTCGTCGACTCCTCCGCTGCCATTCCACGATATACCATGTTGTGCGAGGAGTTTCTTTAATTGTCGATTTTCTTCTGCGAGGGATTGTTTGCTTTGAGTGACGTTGCTAAAATTTTCTTTTAATCGAAATACTTCTTGCTCTAGGGCTTTGATGTATAATTCCTTGCGCTCACGGTGGGTTCTAGGAGACATTAGTGGAAGTCCAAATCCTATTCCTGATACCAGCATACCTCTGAGCTTGTCGATTTAATTCCTGCCTCCTTGTTAAAGCAGGTTTACTGTCGGGTTTGGGCCCTCTTCTTTTCGGTGTCGAGCCGTCGACTGTTCTGAAATTTAGTTTCCAATTGGAATAAGTTGGGATGAATCTGGAGAATCATACCCCGCGTAGACTTCTTTTCTGTGAGGCCCTTGAGGAAACTCAAACTTGACGAAAGAGGTGATTTTCCTGCTTCTGATTGCCCACTGGCATAATCGTAATTTTCGGTTTCTGCGGTAGACATCATAGCGCAATTTGATAAAGTTGAGAAGAAATCAAAGATATGCCTATCTTATCAGCGTTGTTGTTGTTGTTGTAGATCTTAAGGTGTGCGCGGAGAAGCGATGAAGGGGCGAGGTTGTCGCAAGTTGGTTATTGATTGATTAACAGCGTGGCATACCTACAGTAACTCGATAGTATTCTCTGAAATTGGATTGAACAATTATTGATTATGTTAGACCAACAGTTTCAATCTTTATTCTGGAAATTGTTCGCGGGGCAATGGACATTCGAAAGCCAAGTTCAATGATTGGATTGATCGAAAGAACGGGGCCGATAGAGATATCCCCGTTATGATGTAGGTATTTCTATATTGACTTTGCAATGTTTGGTCGACGCGATCAAGTCTCTCTCTTGAAGATCATTGAGGACTTTTGGACTTAAACAAGGTCAGCAATTCAGGAAATAAGTCAAGAATCAAGAACGAATACGCAAACGGCAGCCGCGCACTGGCTCTCGAGACTGGGAAGGTACTAGGTACGCTTACTACATACTTCGTAGGGACATAAGATCTTACCCAGGTAGGTAGATCCACTATTAGCACTTGGACTGTGCTAGAGGTCTGGCCAAGGTATTCGTATTCCATAAGAAACCTTGGATATCGTGATTGATAAGTACTGGCTAATTCCGACTACGACTATGTACGTACGATGGACTCGATGAGTGACGAAGTGGTATAGTGCCGAGAGGACTCGACGTTGTATTCGGCAGCAGTTTGTCCTCGGTGCATATGGTCAGACATCAATATCCGGTAGAGATCATCCAATATACCGACAGGGCTGAGAGTTTGAGGAGGGTCGGAATGGTTATGGAGGAAATTTAAGAGAGAGAGAGAGAGAGAGAGAGAGAGAGATGTATTTGGTTATCGATGGCAGCCTTGATGCATACCTATGATTGAACGCATTTTGAACGTTCAAGATATATGATGGCTGAAGTTGACCGCCACGGCTGAAAGGGGAGGGAAGTCGGAAGCCAGTCGTTCCGGCAAGTGCCACTCCGTGACTGGAAAAATTGGTAAAGTTGGTGTGGCGACCACTTCTGCATAGTCTGGGCGTACGGAGAAGTTCTTAAACTTCACATGGCTACAAGTTAGGGACAAGTTAGGGACAAGCTTGGGAGATGCCCGGTGAGCTCTAAATTCTGATTATGAATTGTACGTGAGGTCGAATCATCTATCTCCGGGCAAAACTGTCGAAGAAGCTCACATTTGGATTAATGTTTTCCTTTTCTATGTGTACCGTACCTAGTCTTGAGTGATGCAGGTAATGATTCCATCTCCCGCCAAAAATGGAAAGATGCTCACTTTGATCATAAACTATCCATCGTCCTCGTTTGTTATAAATCTTGACCTTGATCTTCTACGGTTAATTGAATGGTGGATTGGCAAAATATCTCCACATATAGTATACAACATCCCTGAATCCACCTACGTGATCAACATCGAATTTATTGTCCCCCCTCGAACATTTCCATCGGCGCTCACCTCTCACGCGACCCAAATCAAATCCCCATAAATGCATCTCATCTACCTACAAGCACTCAAGGCCAAGCTTGTGGAACTGATTTGAGTAACGCTTGGTTATTTATGATGCCCGTGTGCTGAGCTCCATATTTCCATGAGTAAGCAACACAGAAGTAATGAATGAGGTTTGATTTTCTCTTGTGATGTGTTGTCTGCCCCTCATTCCTCGTGTATGAAATTTCAAGACAACCACCATGAGTCTAGATGTTGTATACACGAGCATTCGTGGATTTCTCATTGTGTTACCATGGGCCCTCGAATTGGTCCTCATGGACCTCATAATCTCTTTCCTCTTACCCGTCAGTTATCTTTTCCCTAACTGGGTATACAATGCGTCGTCGTTCGTCGCCTTTACAAACTGGAATTGGATCCAAGTCATTTTTGAGGTCTTCAACGGAGGCAAGATTACCATTTCTGGCGACACTCTTCCGGAAAGCGAAACCGCGATTGTCATTGCAAATCATGTCAGTTGGACCGACTTCTATATGATTCAAGCACTTGCTATCAGAGCTGGCATGCTTGGGAGGTGTAGATGGTTTGCCAAGATTGAATTGCGATGGGTTCCATTACTTGGATGGGGAATTTGGGGGATGGGTATGCCCATGGTTAGTAGAAATTGGCTGAAGGATAAGAAAGAGTTGGATCGAGTTTTTGCAGGAGTTGTAGTAAAGAAATGGCCACAGTGTAAGCTATGCGTGCTATCTACCCCCACTTAAGGTAATTTGGCAGTGCTAACTTATCTATCATCCAGGGCTCATCAGCTTTAGTGAAGCGACACGATATACCCCCAAGAAATACGAAGAAGCAAAAACATGGTGTAAACAAAACAATCGACCTCTCCCCAAGCACCTTCTGTATCCACGAACCAAAGGCTTTGTAACAACAGTGCAGCACCTGCGAAAGGCTAAGCACGTCAAAGCTGTTTATGATATGACGATCGCGTATTCACATCATAATAAATGGCATCAAGCACCAACCATTTGGGAATCTCTTAGTTGCGGGGACCTAAGCGGAAAACGAGGATACAAATTTCATGTTGAAGTCAAGCGATTTTTATTGGAGGACTTGCCAGAGACTGACGAAGGATTGGCAAAATGGTTGGAAACTAGATGGATAGAGAAAGGGGAATACTTGGAAGAAAAGAGGGAAGAATGGTCCAGAGTTGGTAACGGACATAAGCCAATTACGGCATAGTTGTCGCAGCAATGTCTTTATCTTTTCCCTTGTTTGGAATGTCTAGCTGGAGTAGATTAGACGAGCGCATCTGTTACTTTTTCCTCTAGATTAAATTCTCTCTAGATTGAATTCGCTCCAGAGTTTGAGATTGCTTGTAATATTTTTGCATGCAGAACAATTCTGGAATATTTGTTAGAGTTATTAGACAGGATAAGAAGCATTCCTTTGTTCCCGCCAACACCAAGCCTCGAGAATATGTCCCTCAATTCCCGCACGCAAATTATTTCCCGAACACAAAGAAAAGTTTTTCCAAAATGCTTTCTCAAAACGTTCCATTCCTCACATTCCAAAGCATTGGGGTGTGGTGCTACTTATTGTGCACTGAAATTGGAATAATCAGAAGTTAACAAAGGTATTCATGCTTCGTTCTCAATTCTGGAGGCAATCCTATATTTCCCAATCAATCAAATATGTCTTTCCTCATTTCCATTTCCATCCAATTCCTAATCTCAATCTTTTCAAAGATCTCAGCCATCGTCGATCACAACCTCAAACAGTATACCGAGACAGTCAATTGACTTCATCACATTCTCAAGCATTTAATCACCCAAACACAATACTCCATAAACAGTCTCATATATTGAAAGAAGACAAAATGCCAACAGGCGCACTTTCAATATCTATCCCCGACACACCCACTACTCCAACATCAACTACAAAACACTCCGCTACTCGCCCAACTTTCTTCCCTACAGTTGCTTGGTGGAGACTTTTCCCAAGGCCAAGATTCCCGAGCTATTATTCCTCGAATTATAACACTCACGGGTACAGAACTGACACTCATGACGAAAATGGAAGGACGAGAATGGAAGAAGGCTTATTGAGTGACGGCGAAAGAGAAGATTATGATGGGATGATTCCTAGGGTTGGTATGCAAAGTGACTCAGGTTCCAGTTATTGGAAACGGGACAGTGGTGAAGGGCGGAGGATGGGGAGGCTGAGGCTAACAGTGGAGATTTTTGGTGCTGTCGGGGTTGTTGTTGCAGTTGTTGGGTTAGTTCTCTTAGTTTTTGGGTAGCAATAGGAGAAATATATACAAGGCTGCGGGATGTGAACTGGAATGTGATTGAACTGATGCCCAGCGGTGAAGGTTGGTCAGCAGTTGATTGGGATAGCCAAGAAGTGAGAGAGATGTCGGAAAGAAAGGAGTAGGACAAGCTGATAAAAAGTGTGATTGGATTAATATGATGCCGATGCATACAAATATATGCTGGGACGAAACTACGTTAGATTTTTTTATGGGAAAGTTCTCGATATAAATACGGTTCCCATCCTATTGGACAACCCGCTTCCAGTATTAATACTCTGAAGAAAGTGAAAATGGGATAAAGTCAATCTTATCATGAGAGCCTCCTTGGGATTCCATACAAAGGCTATTCAGGACGAACTATACTTGGAATTCTCTGCCCAAATTCTGCCACTTGCTCCAAGATCACCTACTCATTACTGGCAATAGCTTGATTGAAGAGAATCGATTCCAACATCCAGCGTAATGTCTTTCAGAAATCTTACTGCATCATTCTCCGTCTCATCTAAGTATTCTTGATTTGGATATTCTAGCCAGTCCTGAAATCTAGATTCGGTTGCCCTCGTAAATCTTTATTATTCAATACATTTCTATCGAACTTGACTCAAACCATCATTCACCCATATTGCACTCATATCTCCCGGTAGGCGATGACATATTATTTTTGAACACATTTTCACCAACACGTGTGGTTTGTTGTCGTATAACACCAACTTGTGAAGGTGTTCTCCGGGAGTGAAAAATGGGAAAAGAGGATTGTGATTCCAATCGAGGCTTTGATGTATGGCGTGGTGTTCCACGTCTGTGCTTCGAACACTTGTGTGTGGGGTGCTTGGAGTGCGGGGTGTTGGCGGGGGCCGTAGAGGGATAGAGAGTAACCATATGATTTGGAGGACTCATAGCCCTTGATTAGTTTTCAATATTGCGAAGCACAAGGGCTCAATGTCGTCGAGTTGGTTGCACATTAGCATGCTTCTCCTTATCAGAAAGTATTTAACAAACCATATTATAAACAGCGAAAAACATTTTCTGCTGTAAGCTCGAAGCCTGTGAACTCCGTGAATCAATCGTCTTCCAAGTTTTATGGTGTGGCTGGAGTCATGCGAGCAATGGAAACATTATTTCCTAATACGTGTTAGCCTAACCCAACATCCTTCGCTATTTTCAAACGTAGTAAGCACTTAAGTTCTCAACAATGCTTTGGAATCATTGCAGGATAGCCATTTTTAATGTGAATCGTCCTATCACCATGGTATGTATACACAAGATGCCAATATCAATAGGAAATCGGCTTCTGCAGCATGAAACTTTGGAATCACAATAACTTGATGCGATATTCCTCACATAAAAGCTGATTTAAAAGAGTAAGATCATCATTAAAATGACCAGGCTATGGAAACAAGTAACTCTGCAGAGTAAGTATGAAAACCATGCAAGCTGTTGGAAATCAGACGAAAATTGCGAGGGTGAAAAGCACTTCAGTGTGATTTGCGATGATATATTAAGTGACAGCAACACGGCCTTTAACAATTCTTTTCTCTTTTCAAATTCAAATCAACTCTGGATTCTCATTCACAACTCATAAGCAACATTTGACCCAGGTCGCTGCAGTTTGAAAGGACGTATTCCCGAAACTCTGAATCCTTTTCTGTATTTCAAACCATCCTACAAAGCTCGGTATCTCAATAATCTCCCCTGCATCTCCCGTATCAGGATCAATCCTACAACAGATTAACATACCTCAAGGTCGACCTTGACCATGCATCTCTTTCGAACCTTTCTCCTCACTCCCATCATTCTTGCAGCTTCGACAATCACTCGACATCATTCTCGAGACGCAGCAGCATACTTTCTTGACAATAATCCCAATGGCTCGACCATTATTGCTATGAGGATATCCCGAGAGGATGGAACTCTTTCCCTACCTACTCGAACTTCTACTGGAGGAAAAGGGATGCTCGGTTTGAATGCTCCAGCAGCAAATTCAACCGTAGCCCCTGCACCTGGAGATAAAGGTGTGAATCAAATTCAATAAAACATTGAAAAGGATCTTCATACTGACTCTATGATGTAGATACTTTGTTTGGTCAGAACTCCATAATTGTATCAGGAGACGTAAGCAAATTCCAAGATATAAGAGAATTGGCTCACGAACTTTAACTGATATGAACTAGAAGCTCTTCACTGTCAACACTGGAAGTAATACATTGGCTATGTTCTCAATTGACTCGAACGATTTCTTACATCCGCGTATGGTTGGTAAACCGGTGGATACCATGGGAGAATTCCCAGTCGCCGTTGCTTATTCGCCAAAACTCAAGACTGGTGAGTCCTAGGATACCTCTTGATAGAACCATTCATATACAAGAGCCAGTTGCTGATTATCCCTTAGCTTGCGTACTAAATGGCGGTGCCGTAGCAGGAATATCTTGCTTCTTGACTCATTATAGCAAAGGGTTATTAGCCAGTGGATCTTTCCGACCTATTGCCTTAAATCAGTACGTATCACTCCTTCTTCAATTCTCACTCATCTAATCCAATTATATAGAACGACCCCACCCGTTGGACCTGCCGGGACTGTCTCGGATCTTCTCTTCAACCCCTCTCAAACCACCCTCTTAGCGTCCGTAAAAGGTAACGGGCTTGCTCCAGGCTCATTCATCGCCTATTCTGTCTCCGAAAGCGACAATAGCATTTCCAGTATTCCCATCATTTCCAAGCCTCCACAAGTCCGCTTGAACTTTGGCATAAGTTTTCTCGGCTCTGACCATCGACTTGCTGTCTCAGATCCTGCGATTGGCGCATCGCTCGTTTCTATCTCGTCATCCTCTATTGTAACGTCAGATGTCCCGATTACTGTTGCTGGAGAGTCAGCAGTTTGTTGGACAGAATACAATAGGAAAAGAGGAGAACTTTATCTGATGGACGTAGGTGTTTCTAATATCACAGTAGTAAATGCGAAAACGGGGGCAATCAAAAAGGGGATCCAGCAAGATGATGCGGGGCTGGGGAGTTTGGATGCTAGGCTTGGAGGAGACTTTTTGTACGTGCTGAAGAGTGCGTCGGAGATCAACGTTATCAAGACATCGGGTGGAAAAACTATCCAGAGATTCAATTTGACAAATTTGGGAAGTAGACAAGGGTTTGTGGGGATGGCGACTTGGGGGTTTGGTCAAAACTAGAGGGAGGATGTGGATAGTAGGAGACGGATTGTTGGGTGAAATGAAAAGATTATGACTGTTGTCTAATTTATTGTTTAACTCATGGATTGAAAATTTTGGAAATTGGTGGACTGACAGCAAGAATTTTTAAAAAGATGGTTTGTCTTTGAACTGCTCATTTACCCCTTCATTTGTTCCGCTTAGATGAAGTGAACTCAAAGCAGCCAGAACTCAAAATGCGGGAGATCACTTGAGCTCATATTCTAGCCTCAGAATTTATTTTCACTCGAAAACCTATTGAACTGCAGATTTGATTCTATATTTATTTTTCGATGGCAAGCACTTCAGAACACACAGACCATTCTCATTCTGATTTTCCAGGATAGGCGCTACCATAACACCATGAATCTTAAGGTTACGACTTCAGCAGAAGTTGCAAGAAACGAGGCAAGATTCTTACTATGATAGACATCCCTTCTGTTTATGATGTAGATAAATACCTGTAGGTTTTTGTTGAATACAAAGAATGCCTAGAATTCTCAATCGATTCAACGTCTTGGGAATCCGAAAATAGAGCAGCCAACAGTGATCAGTTCAGGGATTACTCCGAACTCTTCCTCCAATGTCTCCAAAGTGACATCACGTCTCTTACTTGAAGTTTCGTGTTTGATGATTTTTTGAAGTAAAAAGCAAAGGAACATGTGATTCGGACTTCGGAAGCAATCATTAAGATTGAAACCGCTTGTATACCACGTGTATACGTACTTATCTGCATTGAATTTCCGGGGATTCCGGCATCAATGCCTCCAAAGTAAAGAAACTTTCGTATACTCGTTTCTGTTGTTTACCAACAAGTCCCTTGTCCGTAAGAAAAACAAACTATGCCGGTAGCTTCCATGGCTTTAACGCCATGTAGTAACTACCTTGCTCTAGAACAGATGGAAGTGGAAGAGAATGAAAAAAAATGTGATGAGTCTAACAAATCAACGCGTCCAATTCGTCAAAACTTTGACATCGCCACAGGGTCTAGGATGATGAGTTGGTTGTGTTGGTTGGTTGGTTCGCAAGGGATTTCACGTAGGTATAGATTCTATACGCGGAATCGATTCATTTCGAAAGAAATTTGAATCTTCATCTCTGAATACAATACAAGACACCACCATTTTCAACTTTCGCATCACTTAGACCAAGTACCATATCATCTCCTGTGGGGTTCACATATTGTCCACAATTGCCAACCGGTATCTAATCGAACGAACTCTTTTTCTACAGAGCTTCACGAAAAGTTGGGTCTCCTTACACTGACAGCAAGCCACAACCTCGTATCAGAGACGGATTTACGGGTATCAGATGAACTAAACCTTGCAAGTCGAAAGATACTATTTGTGGTTATAGGTTCAATAAGTAGCCGTGGGCACCCTTTGAAGATCTTCGCAAATCAATCCAAAGGTCACCATTTCCCTCACTTTCGTTCATTTAAGCTACATCATACCAGACATTTGAATTCAAACTTCACATTTTGAAGGTTTTATCTTAGTTGGTAAGTCAATATAGAGTACGCGAGTATGTGCTAGCGACTCATTTATTTTCAATTTCCATCTAACTGTCTGTTTTGGCGGGGTGATTGATAAAGCTCCAAGCTTTGGAAACAACAAGATTATCATCAATTTGCTAACAGCCATATAGATCTACAGTCTTTTCCAAAGATCGCGACATCCTCACATTACCACAATCAATTTACACCTACCTTTCTCGATTTTGCCTCATCGGTTCCATCTTGTAACAAAACATCAAGTTTCGCAAAAATGCTTCAGACCCTCGTAATTGTTCTCATCTGCATCGTGGCCGTCATTGTTCTGATCGGTCTAGCCGCATTGATCAACACGGCAACGAAGAAGACGGGACCTAACATTCCTGTCTAAGATGTATAATCAGGAACAAAATGAGAACGATGTCTTTCAAATAATTCCTCTAAGCCACGACTATTTCAAAGTGAAAGCCAACGATTCCAATCATCTCCTCGTTTCTCCCTTCACATTTCGATCTCAAGGCATGATGATTATGATCATATGCCATACATCAATCTTCTTCGTTCAGCGGCTGTCACGATATTATGTGGGTAACGGGGTGCGAATATGTTTCTAGGGCTCTGGGGTGGTGGAAAAAATGGCGTCAATAATGGATATCCGGCGTGCTTTTTATGTTCAATATGAAGATTGAGAAAACCGTATCTTCATTTGCATTTTGGGGGACTGCTGGATGAATTCTTCTGACTGGACGTCGGTTTCTTCTCCAGTGTTGGATAAGTACAAATGTTTGGCGTATAGATTGCTACATGGCTGGCAGGCTGGGCGAGTTTGAATCCCAGTATACCTCCTAAGCTCATTGAGCTCCACGATGGTTCCATGTTCTAAAGATTCATCAAAAATAATTGATGGGTCTGGGGAAAGGGCACCAACAGTTTATGGAAGCATGTAGGATGGAGCAATCGGAGATCGATTGATACATGAATGTATATGCTGTACATGATGACTAGATGTTTCCATCTTACTTCAACCTTTGCAATGGAACTGTCTGCTTACTTTCCACTTTGATGAGTCCACAATAGCCGATTCTTAGAATCCAATTGCTTGAAAATATATGTAATTCCTACTGGTACAAGTGTGCCGATGAGTTTTTCAATTATTGCATCATCGGTTCTATTCATAGAAATATCCAATGAATTGCATCCCGATTCATCAGCCATCAAAACATCAAAACTGATAGTCAGATCTACTGTTTGATCATGCAGTACCCTTTTAAATACTGCCATTAAGCTCAAGTGCACTCGGCCTCAATGAGATGCTTGCCATCGGAACCAATCTCTAAATATCACTTTCGTTGTCATACTCCTTCCTACATTTCTAATCCCATACATGGGTTCGTGCAACTCGACAGATATATGCAAAAATCACCTGATTTCACAGGCGTTGAGAATCGTATGACATGAACAAAAAAGTGGTCTTATATCTAACCCATCAATACAAAGCCACTCATTACAACGTCAATATCTGCACTAAGGAAATCGACTCTTCCATCCTATCCATGAACTTAATTCATACGCTCCCTACTATCTTTCCCATAATCATAATTTCTTTATTTTTGAAATACATACTGTCTATTTCCCACCAGTTTTGCTTCAGCATGGCCCAATGGTATTCTCAAAGTGGTGAAAAAGTGGCCATAGTAATTGGATCCGGGTTAGCTGGTTTGGCTGCCTCCTCCCAAATTCTCTCACAAAGTCATGATATCAAAGTTTATCTTCTTGAACAAGCAAGTCGAACCGGAGGAAACAGCATAAAAGCCTCTTCTGGAATAAATGGTGCAAGAACATCGTTTCAACTTGCATCGAATCCTCCCATTGTAGATAGCGTCGAGACGTTTTATAATGATTCGATTAAGTCAGCAGCGGAAGCTTTGCGGGTTGGCGGCGAAGGGGAGAGAAAGGAAAGGGAGCGTTTGATTAGGGTACTAAGTGAGGAGTCCAAGGGTGCTGTTGAGTGGTTGGGCAGTAAGGGCGTGGATCTTAGTGTCATTGCTCAATTGGGAGGACACAGTATTGCTAGGACACATAGAGGAGGTGGGAAATCTAAACCACCTGGAGCAGCGATTGTTGGTACTCTTTTAGAGGAATTGAAAGGAAACGACATGTTTCATCTCAAGACTTCATGCAGGGTAATCAGAGTGATTAAGGATGATAACGATAAAGATGTCAGAGGTGTGGAATGCGTTTGTGAGAATGAAAACAATACACCGAAAGTCGAAATATTAACAGGCCCTTTGATCTTCGCAACTGGCGGATTCGGAGGCGATGCGTATGGGATGTTAGCACGATATCGACCTGATTTATCCGGATTTCCCTCCACCAATGAACCACGTTCCGGGTCTCAAGAACTTCTCTCGGATATTGGAGCTGGACTTATCGATATGGAGAAAGTGCAAATCCATCCTACCGCATTTGTGGATATGAAAGATACCAACAATCCGACTAAATTTCTAGCAGCGGAAATGTTGAGAGGCGAGGGCGGTGTACTTTTGATGGGTGGGAGGAGATTTGTAGATGAGTTAGAGACGAGAAAAATTGTTACTGGGAAAATAATGGAAGCTGGTGAAATTGTAGGGAGTGAGGGACACCCAAGACAGTGGGATGTGAAGCTTGTGATTGATCAGGGGGTGTATGAGAAGACAAAATCACATGTTGACTTTTATTTGTGGAAGGGTTTGATGAGGAAATGTACTATTGCGGAAGAAAATTTTGGAGAAGATGCCACAGGGGGTTTGCAGAGGTATGCAGACACCGTAGCAAAGAGGTTGAAGGATGAGTTTGGTAGGAAGTCTTTTGGATGCTGGAAACTGAATGACGTAAAACCCGATTCGGTAATATACGTAGGAAACGTCACTCCTGCGGTTCATTTTACGATGGGAGGGGTGAGGATTGATGAGCAAGGAAGGCTTTTGACAGCAGAAGGGGACGTGATTCGAGGAATTTGGGCAGCAGGCGAAGTTACTGGAGGAATTCATGGGGATAATAGGCTGGGTGGGAGTTCATTATTGGAATGTGTTATTTTTGGGAGGAAGGCTGGAGATGGAGTATTAAACTTATTGGGGGGGTGAACACAAGAGTAGTAACCGAGGGTGATGTATTCGCCTGGATACACCTGGGAGATGCGAGCGCATAGCGGGGCAGTGTTTCCAAGTGTGCAGACTGTTGTCTAAGTTCACCATATGGAACTCTGGAACAATCAAACTCTTTAAAAAAAAAATTGATTTTGGAGATTGGAAATCTCGTAAATGTTGAACCTCTTTGGAACGATGGATTCATCGAAACCCAAATGAATGAAATAAAGTCGGAGATCGGACTGTAGTCCGAGATGTGAGATACAGTACAAACGAAATACCGTTGCGTTTCATTCCAACCGAGCCATGAATTTCCATTTCGTATCCAATGAAAGAAGACATGTAGAAAGAAAGGTAGTGAAAAAATTAACCTAAAGACATTGAGAATAATAAGCATTTGCATAAGTGCACGTATATGGGCTAGCACAAGTTGTACCACCCGTATATCCAGTTCCGCCACATTGTCCATAATGTGCAACTCCAGTGGATCCAGGAGAGGTAATGATAGTTGTAGTACCGGGGCTAGATGGAGTAGTAGTTGGGGACGTACCAGATGAAGCGAGTTGTGCATTTACGAATGTTAAGGCTTGTTGACCATATTCGGTGCCGTAACCTTGATGGGTATTTGCATCAGAACCAGTACAGCAGTACGGGTCAGCAGCGTCGCAATAAGACTTTATCTTTGAAGCGGAGGGACAAGAAAACCCAGAGGGACGAGGTGCGAACTAAAACAATTGTTAAGACATTGTTCGCAAATACTCAAAGATATGAGTGTAGTCACATGAGCAACATGGGAGGTGTGAATTGAAAGACTTACTCCATGAGCTCGACAGGTACCAACTTGATAAGAAAGTCCATAAATGTAGCGTGGGTTACCCATGAAAATTGCGGCCTTAATCATATTGATAGCACTGGCTTGAATTGGAATTGCGGTATTCGTGAGTCCATTATTCGCATCTCCACCTCCACAGAACGCATCGTCCATTATTTCACCACCCTAATTTACAAATTAGTGTCAAATTTCTAGATTTGGATGATGGACAAGGAAAATGACACGGCAAGAAAAGTTGATCTACCTGAGAATACCCCACCAATACCAATTTAGTACTTGGGCATTGTGTATGATATGCATTCACTGCAGCTGCGACGGCAGCAACTCCTGCAACAACACTATTTCCATAGCTAACTCCACCACAGGAAGATTGACCGCCACACGCGGGATAGTTGATGGCTTCGGAAGTTGACCCAGAATGAGCGGCAAGGATGAGGTTGACAACTACACCTGCGGTCCCATATCCGGCTGGTGCCGTGGTCTCTCTAGCACCAAAGACGTGAATTTCAGGACAGGTTGCGCGGGTGTCCAATTCAGAAGGCAGAGCTGAAGCGTAGGTAAGGAGAGATAGAAATACCGCTTTGAGTGTCGTGCTTGAAAACATGCTGAAGATTGGATGGGTGAAAGTGCTAAAAGAAGGCTGTTGTTGATGCTATGTAGTAGATGGCGATACTTTGGATGAAGATTCGAAAACTAATGTTAAGTGCGAATATGGATCTATTTAAAGACTAGGAAACTCATTATTATTCTTCGCAATAAAATTGCCTCCTTTCCGCCGATTTATATTACCCATGACATTCAGCTTTTTGACACATAATGATGATCATATAACTATCATGTCATCTCTGCTCCGGGGTTTGTTTTGACAGCCGAATAAAGTATTCATGTAGATTGCCAAGTCCGTCTTAAGATTTCAGGCTAAGAATTATGCGAACCCAAAACAGTAGAACAGAAGAGGGGAACGCATAAAGGGAACTTACAGTTCAGACGATCCAAATTAATAAAAGAGAAATTTATGAGTCCTCTTTCACCACGTAGTGCTAGCAGGTGATTAGGTATTGAGGCTGATATCCGACATGGCAATACCGAATTTTGGCTAAACTCGTACAGCATGTACCCCAGATCACGATATCCTGGAGGATATCCTGTCGGTTCTAGATTCCTGTACCCTCGAAATTTGGCCAAGAACGGTAAGCTGGCAACATTTAAACGTTCCAAAGTGACCACTACCTAGGAATACAGAGATGAAGAATTGTGGGGTTGACGGGAGTTACTAGGCTTATGGTTATTCCTGCAAACATTTACTCACAATATGATTGAAAAAACATGGGAAGAAATTCCGGCTCAACGGCTGTATAGAATCTTGAAGCAATTCATGACCAATTTGAAATCTCATGTGAAAATTCAGCACAGAAAATTGTTGTTGGAGGTTGT